GGCGGACGGGCGGCAGGGTCGCAGGGACGATCACGGCACTTGGACTGGGGCAGCCAAACAGTTACCCAGCGCCGATAACGATGACGAAGAGGGCTCTGAGCCTCTGACTGGATCTGTAGCAGGCAGAAGACGATCTGACTAGAGGCAGTCAGGCAGTCTAAACGAAGGGGGCGCTGATCGGACAGTGGGACGGAAGCGTTGCAGGAGGATCGGCCATGGCCAGCACAGGTCGAATAAACGAGATCGCAGGCCGCGACGGCGGTGCACAGGACGGACAGCACAATGGCGGCATTGAATGCATTGATTGCTGGGATTGCTGGCGGCTTGCCAATGGGGGGAATTTGGGCTACCACCCTGCACGCAACAAGCTATGCTGGCGGGGGCGATGGCAGATGGCAGAGTCGCAGAGTTGCAGCCGGGCCTGCCGTAGCATTCGGCGACGTGCCATCGCCCTAGCTTGCTTCCCGGAGAGGAAGGTCTGTCTGTGCGACACCGGGAAGGCACGACACACGACACGCTGAACGGCAGGAGCGACCGTCCTCAATACTCATAAAAGCAGCTCCTTCCGCATTCCAGTCTCAAGGCCTCCTTCTCGAGAGGGCTCAGCCCTAACGGCTGCGACTCTAGCGTAGCATCTCAAATTCCTCGCTACATGTATGACTACGCTGTATGTACTGTACACAGCACTCAGCTGTCATGGTCGTTCACAAAGTAAGACATAAGGCGGAGCTCTGGAGACGATTGGCTGAGCAGCCACGTTTGCCTGAGCCAATCTCAGCTCGATGCAGAGTTTCCAGATCCAGGCCCGATGCGAAGCCTCAAGTTCTCAACGCGTCGTGGCTCTGTCTGGACTTGACAGTTGCATCTCCGGGCTTTGCAACGGTTTGCTGGTCGGGTTGCCGCGCGCTCAGGCATCCGACCCGTGGCTCTGGATAACGACGCGCTAGCCCGAGTTAGAGTTACATTGTTGGCGGAGCCCAATCCTCAGGCAGCCATTTTGCCTCGATCGGGAAGTAAACAAAGAACAGTCGATTTGACTGTGCCAAGAGAGCATTGCTTATCTCGTGGCTATCTCGTCTCAAATCATTCTTCAATCGTTCATCTTGAGCAGATAATCCCGGTTGCTCAAGCGGCCAGACTGCCGCTGCCAATCTGCAGACGCGATGCGACTGGCGGACGGGCATGTAACTGTTGCAATGGCGGCCCCCCCACCATCGGAGTCGGGGCCCCGCTCCGGTCCATGCCTCCGTTCGCAACAACATTGTTCCAGAAGGACGAGTCACAAAATTAGTACCTCGCATGCCTTCCAGGTACAGGATTAGTTATGCTTTGCACTGTGCCACTGATTACAGAGTATTATGTATCTGCATATGTATGTGCATACAAGCTCTGCATACTTCTTTAGGTACAGTACGGTACCTACAGCTGGGCTGGCACGTGATTGTCGTCGTGTAGATCTGGACAGAGTATTACTACAGGAGCACCCTGGTTCGTGGAGAGCTCTCTCCGCCTCTCTCCCCCCTGTCGGACATGACCTATCAGCCGGTCGATAAGTCTCCGGCCGTCTATCGATAAAGGGCGCAGTGCCTATTAGCTGGCTAAGGTTAGGGTGGTAGTATACACTGATTTGACTATATGACTCCCGCAGGAATGCCCTCTGCTGGCCATTCATGATTGGCCGTTTCTGCCCCCAACTTCGAGTCTAGGTGAAACATGTGCCACGTGCCGACCTAAAGTTGATTAATTCTTTAGGCCTCTGTCCAGGACTCCAGGTAGGTAGCTAGAGCCTAGGGGGGGAAAGATAGCAGTGGGATCTACGGGCTACGGAGTACGCATATGAGCCCTAAAAGACAGACCCTATTGGCATTAAATATTAAATCACTAGTTAATTAATTAATTAATTAATTAATATTAATTCGATGGGAGATAATTAGTCGATTTTTTATTTTCCTTCGTTCATCACCAACACACCGCTATTACTCTTATTGTTAGACTAATTATCGTGTATGCACATACCTATCTATACTTCCTGGAGATGAAACCCTATCTATCTATGGACCCTATTTATCCAGGGTCTAGACGTCTGGCGCAGCCAAAACAAGCTTTACTCTCTCTTCGCTTAACCGGGAATTATGTACCAAGTTTGCTGTATTTGTCTATCACTCCTTTCAGATTCATTATTATTGCGGCGCCATCTTCCAGAAGGAATCGAAGGAATCGGAGGGGTTACATGCACTTCCTGCTACTCTGACGACCATATCGAGTCAGACAAGTCCAGTCCAGTTCAGCAATAGTAGTAGATTACCTAGGTAGGGATAGCGATATTACCTATCAGGGTAGTCTGCAATGGGCGATACGCAGCTGATTCCAGCTGAATTGTGCACTTGCTTGGAAGCCAATGTGAACGCCAAGGCGCCTAATAATATGCTGTACAACTTGAGTTATAAGGATCAATCACAATGGCGAGTATTACTCTTGGCATAGATACCTAGCCTAGGTAGATACCTCCTACAACATCTACCTACCTACCACCCACCGACTCATCCCTGCGCGCAATGGTGATTCGTCGACAAGTCGCGGTCTGGACCCTGACAAATGATACATGTACCGTACGATGCATGTCATTATTCCACACCGGTCTGTGTGTACTGTACCTGGGCGTCAGCGTCAGGCTTCTTGGCTTGGTGCTTGGCTCTGGAAGATCATTCAGATCCTACCAGCTCGCTTGCCAAGAAGAGACTTAAGTGATCGAGACTGACTGACTGACTGACTGATGCAAGAATGATACTTGTTGACGGAAGTGCCGACGTTCCGCTTGTATGTGCTGTACATACAGTACATGAGTTCAGCTCAGCTGAGATCCTTTCAGCCGGTATACACCGTACCATCCACGCTTCGAAGGAAGGAAGGAAGGTTACTGCGACCCTTGTCCCATCGAACATGGAGACTGGATCTAATAGTTCCCTGGGAAGTGTACAGTACAGTCCCAAAGGCGTTTCTAGCGAGTGCCTCCTGCTAAGGAGCTCCCATGGCAACACTCCTCCAGAATGAGCAAATCCACTACGACTATGGTTGAATGCGCAGGATCTTTTGTTGCATTTTCCACCGCCCAAAGTATTGATTCCGCAACTGCACTGACTCAGATACATTCACTTTGTACTGTACAGGGTGATTCGCAAGTGCAACACTACTGGCATTGCACCTGCCTGTGGCAATGTCCACTGACAACATTGTAGAGCAATACGAAGACAATTTCTTGTCGAGCATTGCATATCTAGAGCAATACCTACAATATCGTGTATGATATAGGTGTGTACGAGGTACTCTGTAGAGTTAAACAAACATCACCATGATGTCACAAAACCACCAGCAGGACTGTTGCGCCTCCAAGGGGACAGGACAGCACTACCACAACAATAGCATTATAACAACCATAACAAATAAACAAATCGACAACTGCTTACTTCTTTCGTACTGCGACTAGACCAGACTCACCATGTCCGTTGAGCAAGTCAAAGACGAAAAAGGCGAAGATATCAAGGAGGGGGATTTCGTCTGGACTCGGTATCGAGGTGGGACGAGAGAGGGAGTGGTATGTCTTATCTTTCTATCCATCTCGTCGTCTGTATACGGAGATTGTGTCTATGGAGATATTCTTGCTATATACTGCACTTTTGCTGACGTTGTGTCCACGACGGCAGGTAGACAAGATCGTCATGGACGAACAACAGGCGAGAGAGGAGGGCGTCAGCAATCCGCCAAAGGTTGGTTCTACTCTTAATACTATAGCACTCATGTTTTATTTCTTTTTATAACGGTAACTCACGTCGGTCATGTATTTCTTGTGATACAGGTCGTTTACGATGACCAGCATGGCCATCGAGTGGCGCATAACCCGAAGACGTTGTCGAAGGATTGACCAGTCCTGTCTTGTATAGCAATTTCTAGATGGGTTAATATTGCCATAAAAAGAAATAAATAAATAAATAAATAAGAAAAAGATTCCAGATAGATGGATTGATGAGATCGTGGATCGTATCTTGAAGAAGAATAGGAATCGTTACGTCATATGCTGAAGGACCCCCCATTCATCTTAAGCTACTAATATTAACTTACATTCCTAACCTAACTTTTGAATACGAGATGCGCGTCTAGAACCTTTCATCAGAGTTTAATGCGCCTAGATATTGTTCATATTATTCATTATTTATAATGATGCAGATGACAAACCGGTAACGGTCAGAAGTGGTCAGGCCTGGTGACCTAACCAGCGTACTATTAATACTACTTGGATTGAAATTCTTCTGTTACTTTCTTACAAGTTCAATGCGTTCTCTGAGTACACCTTCCAGATGCACTGTCTCCGGCTGAGAGCTGCTACATTCAATTCTACCAGAAGAGTAGTGCCCAGCGTTATTGCAAGAAAACGACAGACTCCATCCCTCATGGCAGCAGCAGACATATCCTCTTCGTCGTCGTCGTCGTCTTCTGCTGCCCTCCCCCCACTGTCCCATATCCTCGAGACCTGTCTCTACGTGCGCGACGTCGGGGCCTCTGCTCGTTTCTACAGACAGGTTCTGAAGGTGGAGCCGTTCCTGGAATCGGTGAGTGTCTGCCCTCCTCCTCCTCCTCCTCCTTCTTCTCATCTGATCAATAATAAATGATAATAAATGAATAGCCCCGAGTATCCGGTTTCTCCCTCGGCTCAACAACCCTTCTCCTCTTCCAGCTGGGCTCGACAGCCTCAGACATCCATACTCCGAAAGGCGTCATCGTCGGTCACGGGCCAAGCGAGTCAATTGTTTCGGCACTTCTGTCAAAAACACACAAAAGCAGTAGCAGCAGCAGCAATAGCAGTAAAAATGCTGAGGGTGATGGAGGAAACGTCCATCTCAAGCAGCATTTCTGTCTCGCCGTGAAAGACCCGGAAGACGTGGCTCAATGGGACGCACACTTGCAGAAGGAAGGTGTTCGGATCCTGGGACGCATGACCTGGGACCGCAGAGGGAAGAGCGTCTATTTCGAGGATCCGGATGGCCATGTGGGTGAGATTGGATCCAGGGGGATCTGGGCGCATTATGATCTGGAGAGGGGGAGGATATAGTATGTCATTTCTTCAAATTAATATCATTATTATCTGTGGCGAAAGCATGGCATGGCGGCCCATGGACGGCCACAAAAGCTGAAATTCTACAACTGGCTACATTACATACCTTAACAGGTTGATTCATCCTATCTATGCACATGTGGCAATTGATGCAGTTCATGATCAATGATTATCACGACTATTATCATGGACATGATTGTTGGAACTAACAAGAAGCCTTGGATGATATTGATGAGATTGATAATGAAGTTGTTTCGATTTTAGCAGATTTAGTAGTGGTGTCAGAGTTCCGGGCTCTCTTGCCAATCTGCTAACGAGGGTCTTATAGAAGAATTTCCCCTAAATAGCAGAATCCCCCGTCAAGGCGAGGCTGATTTCGGTGCAACCTTAGTGAATCAGACTAATGTTTACCCAGTCTACATATATGTCATGTCATGTAGTGAGTTCTGCAGAAACCTATCATTGACACCATGACTGTATTGTCCTATGTACGGCTGTAGCCAAGGAGATTTTTACTTCCACTCTTTCAGAACATCCCGAAAGGGAAAAAAATGCCTTCTGTTGCAAACTCAGCTAAAAGGATGTAATGGCATTCACTTCTTAGTAAATTGCAAGTATCTTAGGTATCTATTACTCCGTACTGTATCATGTGATTTCCATCTCCCTATTTAGGGTTAACCCTTTCCCGGTGAACTTGCCTCGGGGGCTATTAGATATGCGTGGGTTTTACACCGTGTAGCAGTTATGAGCGGAGCTATCGAAGTCCATGATGATTATACGATGATGACGATAATGTGCGGACTGCAGTACAGTGTGAGCAGGATTTGGATATAGATGAGTGGGCTTCTGACCGGAGTATATAGAAGATCCTCGGGATTCATATGTGGGGCCCCATTCTGGGGAAAACGAACGTTGGCTCAGGCTGAGTCATCTCCAACTTCTCCGCCTGGTCTCGTAAAAGGAACGAGCACAATTCAAATGTTGCTACTACTCAACGAACTGCGGAAGAAACTGCTGAAACCCATGACTCAGACCTTGCGATCTAAGTTCATTGTAGAGTGTCTACGGAAGGATATTGCTGTATATCCGGAATGGCCCTGAAGTCGTTATGACAAGTTTGAAGAGAAATCCGTCTTTTGTCTGATTCTATTGAGAATTAAATGAGATAGTAATTTTTTTTCGTATTCTCAACTAACTGGTTTTACCTACGACGTCTGTAGTGTGGATGCTCTAGGGGCATATTCTCATCAACATCAGAGAGGAATCTATCACAGTCGATGGGTATATCCATGGGGTTTGACGACGTCCAGGGAACTCAGACCCTGACGGCGATCATCACCAGGTGGCGTCGAGCGAAGGATTGCCCATTTGTTGGACAGTTCACAGCAGAAACATATTTATGGTGAATGATCTGTCGATGGGCGTTCAGCCAAGCTTCGCTAGCTCGAATTCACGATATCCCCACATCCATCGGGAGTTTAACGGCGATGCCAACATTTCTTTTATTATTATTATTATTATTATGCCAACCTGGCGAATTTCTTGCCTGTGTTGCCGTCCCTGCCAGTCGATCATCCATATTGGTGCATTATGTGTGACGAAATGCTGTCATCCCAAACGGGCAAAAACCATCAATCTAATCTGTTTCTCCGCATCAGCCCGGCGATCGTCTGCAGAAAAAAAAATCCAACGAATCCGAGTCTATGGCCCCCTCTCCCTCGCCGGTCCGACACCGTCGAACCCTGCTGGAAGTTTATTCTGCTGCGTTCCCCAATGATCATTTGTCCCTGTCATGGGTGAAGGCGTGCGAGTCACGCGGCTAAACCGTTGCGATGACTTGCTTCCCCACACATCAGCAGTTCTCACGGACCTTCTCGACGCTCGAGTCACAGGTTTTATACCGAGGATTTTGTGTCCAAAGTCACAAAGTGAGCATGTGATAGTCCCGCCGCGTTCTGGTCACTGGTCCTGCGCTGCTCGGTGAATATGCTCTGTTATAACCGGCCTTTCCGGGCCCCCTGGGCCTGCCTCATGGGAGGCGCTGCGCAGGAAGTTGAACAGGTCGTCTGTGATCAGTGATCCAGCTCCTTGAAGATGCGTCTTGGTTCGATTTGCCTGGGTGCTGGTCTGCTCTGCGTTGCTGTTACTGGGCCTGCATCGGCAGCAGAATGGCTTCCATATAGCAGAGGAGAAGACGGCACAGCCTCTCCCAACATCAGCAGCTCCGGTATACAGGGCGTTCTGTCCACTGTGGCCGTCGAACCCTCCAAGATGGGCCAGACCACATCTGCAAAAGCTGCCACCATCAAGTCCCAGCTCCAGCAGGCCCAGTCCATCCAGCAGACCGCAAACTCCAGCTCCGTCGAGTCGGCGTTTTCCGCCATTTCGAGCATCTTCCAGAACGGCGTGTCCGACCTGGCGCAGGCTGTCGAGGAGCTGCTCTCGCATGGCCTGCTCACGGGCTCCCTGCTGGACTTGCTGAACGGCTATGCGGACTTTTCCCTCAACTCCGACAGCAACAACAACCCTAAGTCTCCAGCCACGCCGATTTACCCGTCCAAAGCCTCCGGAGATGCCCCGTATACCGTCGACGAGGATACCCTGCGAGCGGCCATCTACATTCCAGAGTCGTTTTCCTACGGTGCCAACGGCAAGATGCCCGTCATTCTCGTCCCTGGGACAGCCATCCCTGCCGGCATGATGTACTATTTCAGCTTCAGTAAGCTGGGCAGCGCCGCAAACGTGGACCCAGTCTGGGTCAACATCCCCAAGGCCTCGCTGGGTGATGTCAGAGTCAACTCGGAGTACGTCGCGTACGCGATCAACTACATCTCGGGCGTCTCAGCCTCGTCCAACGTCTCGGTGATATCCTGGTCCCAGGGCGGCATCAACACGCAGTGGGCGCTGAAATACTGGCCGTCCACCCGGTCCGTCGTCTCGGACTTCATCGCCCTCAGCCCGGACTTCCACGGCACCATCGAGTCCATCCTCGTCTGTCCGGGCTTCGTC